CTCTGCGTCTCTCTGCGTCTCTCTGCGTCTCTCTGCGTCTCTCTGCGTCTCTCTGCGTCTCTCTGCGTCTCTCTGCGTCTCTCTGCGTCTCTCTGCGTGTCTCTGCGTGTCTCTGCGTGTCTCTGCGTGTCTCTGTGTGTTGTGTGTCTCTGCGTGTCTCTGTGTGTTGTGTGTCTCTGTGTGTCTCTGTGTGTCTCTGTGTGTCTCTGTGTATCTCTGTGTGTGTCTGTGTGTGTCTGTGTGTGTCTGTGTGTCTCTGTGTCTCTCTGTGTCTCTCTGTGTCTCTCTGTGTCTCTCTGTGTCTCTCTGTGTCTCTCTGTGTCTCTCTGTGTCTCTGTCTGTGTCTCTGTCTATGTCTCTGTCTCTGGCTCTGTCTGTGTCTGTGTCTGTGTCTCTGTCTGTGTCTCTGTCTGTGTCTCTGTCTGTGTCTGTCTGTGCTCTGTCTGTGTCTCTGTCTGTGTCTCTGTCTGTGTCTCTGTCTGTGTCTCTGTCTGTGTCTGTGTCTGTGTCTCTGTCTGTGTCTCTGTCTGTGTCTCTTGTGTCTCTGTCTGTGTCTCTGTCTGTGTCTCTGTCTGTGTCTCTGTCTGTGTCTCTGTCTGTGTCTCTGTCTGTGTTTTGGACCTTGCGTAGTCTGCCACAAACTCGCTGTCAGTTGCAAGCGCGCACTATCAACCAGAAAGGCCAGTCTGCAGTTATCTGACCATCTTCCTCGTCTTATAGAACTGAGTTAGATGTCGAATAGAATCCTGTGGAAAAACAGGCTGGCCGGGTCGTGTACTCTAACTTGCCTGCTGGGCAATTTCAGTTCTATTATAGTTTACAAGTTCTAGATCGCAGCGCTTCAAGATTGAATCATATCTCGACTAGCTTTCAAGCTAACATGGTTGGATGAAGTAAAATTTCAATCGGCTGCCCTTCCCAAGTAGAGTCTCAAACGTATTAACGAGAACACTGTTCTTTCTGCTCAGTTTCAAACCTCTGAAAAACAGAAACACCGCGCTAAAAAGCTGACATCATTGCTGTTTGTTTGAAAGGTTGACGTTTACGATTTCGATGACTTGGCCACTTGCGTGTCAGCACTTCTCTTCCAAGCAGGGTTCCAGCTGGAATATTGCATTTTGTTGCTATGTTAGATGTGTGTCTGCATCTTGTCCGCATATGCGCTTAATTAGATTCCATGTGGTAAATACAATGCTCACTAGCGCCGGCTCAGAATCAAATCATGGACGGTCACATTCGGAAAGAAGCTATTCGTTTAAACGTTGAGAAACGCACTCGCCGCACGAAAAAAATGAAACTGGAGCGCCCAACGGCGAGATAAGAACAGCACGGGCTGAACCAGGGTTGCCCGCTTCGGGTCCGGAGGCGCCAGCGCCGTCGGTCAAAATAAGCCAACATTGCGCGACGCAGCGATGAACCACAGCTTCTGCGTTGCTTCTGCCACGACTCTGCGCGCCAAAGCTCCAAGCACCCAAAAACCCCACTGGGCGTGAAAGGGCCAGCAACGGCAAAACCCGCTTCTTCACCCTGCAAGTTGCCAGATAGTGTAGCGGTTGAAAAGGAAGTCTCCGCACAAGCAAAAGCGCTGTCTAGGAAAGTAACGCTGGCAGAGCAACGCTGCCTGCGCCAAAGCTTGCACGCGGAAAAACCTCGCCTCTCTCGTTCGGCTCTTCTACCGCAACCCTCAAATCTTCCAGTGCTGCGGCTAAACCCCAAATTGCGTATACGCAAAAAAAGCCGTAAGTTCTTCCATGGAGTCTGGGCCAGAAGCCGAGAGGAAGGCCACCACAAGAAAAGTTCAAGAAGTCGAAACTTACATTTTCTGCTGAAGCCCAAACCGCTATCTGTGTCATCAGCAAGCGAAAGACATCCTAGCGCCTCCTCTGATTGAAAGACATCCTAGCGCCTCCTCTGACTCTAGGCTACAACTGCGTAGCTCAAGCCTTTTGCCATCTTCGCAACTGCTCAGGCGTAAGATGTAAGGGCTCGCCTCTCAAAAGGCGCCATAAACGCGGCGGCAACTCATCTGAGTGTGTTCCACCGGCGCTCTCAAAACACGGTCTATGTAGTCTGGCAGTGGTTGCAAAATCGGAAGACTTTGCCTGAAGAGGCAGAAAGGCCTGACTTCCTCCAAGTTGCGCGCCGCGTCCCTCCCAGAGACGGCCAAACGAGCCATGAACAGATTCCCCCTTCTGAAGCATAACAGAAAATTTTGCCTTGCCAACGGGCGCAGCCTGCTTGTTGTTGGTGAGACGCAAGTTCCCACAAAAACAGCCTTGTGCTTCAGCTCTGATGACATTCTCTCGCGCAACAATCAAAGCGCGATTGCTCGCAAGAGCCTCCAGAAGGTCTCAAGCTTCTCAAGTCACCAACATCAGAACAATCCGCGAACAGGCCCTCGTCCGTGAGCAAACGCACTATGTTCCGTGAGCCAAACTTGTCATTGAAACACCCATGCAAGTAAACCCACTGCGGCCACATGTAAAGCAGCCCAGTCCGCAGGAAACTAGCCTGTAAAAATTGGGGCAGCACACCAGCCAACAAGTTATATGCCAGTAGTGATCCAAGTGAGTCAGCAGGTAAGTGCATTTTGCGTTGTCAAGCTGCAAAGCCATCGTGGCTGGGGCAAGGAATTCGGCGCAGTCCGAGACTGGTGTGTCTGTCGCGGGCTCGTTGAAGGTGAGCAGCAGCCTTGGCACGGCGAACCGCGAGAGTCAGCTTAGCTGCTTAGCGGGGGGAGGCCACGGGCCGAGTTGCTGTGAGAAGTCCTGCATCAGCTCAGCCGATATTTCCAGAGCGAACCTCAAATCGAATCGTTTGGGCCTTGGAAGGGCTTCCCAACATGTGGCCAAACGCGGCACAACGTGCCCCGGCACATTGTGGAGCTAGTAGTGGATGTGAAGCTGGCGCTGCTCGTGGAGGAAGTAGTTGAGCTTGAGATGGCAGTCATGGACACCTCGCTGCGCACACAGCCCGCACACCATGCGCCTGACACCATGGCACAATGGGTTTGAAGCTTGGAGGCTTGAGGCAAACAACAGGAAAAGACGAGAAACACTTGCGTCGCGCAGTGAATTTAGGTCTGGGGTCGGTAAAAAAGGTGGCGGATCTTTTTGACGCAACCTACGCGGATTTTTGCAGCCGCAAACGCGAAAACCGACGCTGGCTGACCGGCCGGCCGGCCACTGGCTGTTTCTAATCTGCGTCCATTTCTCTCACCAAATCAAATCTGTTTCTGAGACTATCTGTCTGTCTGCCTATCCTATCCTATCTTACCCCATCAATCCCATCTACCCCAGCTCCATCTATCCTATGTGTGATATCTAGCCGATCTATCCTGTCTCCCCTACCCATCTTGCGTTATCCTATCTCACCCTGTCTTGCACCATCTTATCGTATCCTCTCTTCTCCTACCATATGTATCTATCAACCTATCTACATGTCTATCCTCTTCACCCTATATTCCCTATCTTTCCTATGCGTCTCATCGTGTGTAGTCTCTGGTGGTTCTTATGTCGTAAGCCGGTCCAACTCCGGTCAAAACTGGTCCAATTCCCTTTAAACCCCCTCCAGAAAGTGATAACTCCCCTTGAAAAACCGTAGAAACCGGTCAAGTCCTCTAAAGACCGTTCCAAGTCCGTTCAACTCCCTCTAGCAACCGGTGAAATCCCCGTCTCACGCCCAGCCCAACTCCGGTCAACTCCCGGCACACCTTGGAAACCTGCTCACGCATTTCGGCGCCGACTCACTCATTCAAGTAAACACAAGCCAAGGCAAACTAAAGCACGGTAAGTACCTCAAAGCCAACCAAAAGCGGACTGGCCGAGGTGGTCAGCGCGAAGCGTTTACAGTTAAGCTTACCTCAATCTATCTTACCCTATCTTATCCTTGCTTGTCCTGTTATCCTGGTGAGCCTGTCTTGCCCTACGATCCTACTACAGTGTCGTATCTAACCCTATGTAACGATATATTTGTCTATCCATTTCTCCATACGATATTCTCCTATATTTACCTATCGCGGCGCGCGTTTACTTAAGGCCGTAAACCGTAAACCGTTGCCGAGCCAAGGGGACGTGCTCCAGAGCGAGCTAGATGTGAGCTCAAAGCGTTGCCGAGCCATGGGAATTGCTTCTGAAATGCTTCTCACTCAGCATCCTCCTTTATGCTCTCCTATCCTAATCGGGTCGAGATTTAATTTGGGATTTTTTGTTTTATTTTGGATTTTGTTGTTTTCCGTCCTGGCTACTAAAATGCTGTAATTTATAGCATTTCTCGCGAAATGTACGTATTTTACGCGTCCGTCAACATCATCAGCATCGTTTTCAACACCCCCCGCATGTCCAGCCAACATCGCCAGCATCACCAGCAAAGTGGCTTCCCGCATCTCATGGTAAAAGTGAGGATTCAATTAAAGGCGCAGGGGGGTTGGGGGGGGCGGCAGCACCCTTGGGGGGGGGCGGCAGCCCCCCCATGATGATCGAAAAATTAGGGGCAAAGAATCTAAAAAGTAACGGTCGCATGATGATCGAAAAAGTGATGATTCAATTCAAGGCGCGGGGCAGCAAAAAGTCCAAAAAATAGCGGGGCGTTGGGGGGGGCAGCAGCCCCCCCCACGATGATTGAAAAAGTGATGATTCAATTAGGGCCAACAAAAATATTCAAAAGCAGCGGGGGGGGGGGGGGCATCAGTGCCTCTTCAAATACGGGCAAACTAATCCCTGCAGATCGAAAAAGTGATGATTCAATCAGGGGCAAAAAGTCTAAAAAATAGCGGGGGGGGTTGGGGGGGCGGCAGCCTCCCCCATGATGATCGAACAATTAGGGGCAAAGAATCTAAAAGTAGCGGTCACATGATTCAAATAGGGGCAAAAAGTCCAGGGCGGCAGCCCCCCCCCCTACGATGATTGAAAAAGTGATGATTCAATTAAAGCAAAAAATATAAAACAAGCAGCGGGGGGGTCATCAGTTCCTCTGCGGCAAGGCCTCATGGTACAAGTGAGGATTCAATCACGGGCAAACTAATCCCTGTAAAACACCTAAAACGTAGCGGGGGTGGGGGGTGGCAATTCCTCCCATGATGATTGAAAAAGTGATGATTCAATTAAAGGCGTCGGGGAGTTGGGGGGGGGGGGCGCAGCCCCCCCATGATGATCGAAAAAGTGATGACTCAATCAGGGGCAAAAAGTCGGGGGGGATGATGATTGAAAAAAGTGATGATTCAATAATCAAAAAAATAAATAAATAAAAAAAGCAGCGGGGGGGGCATCAGTGCCTCTGCGCCAAGGCCTCGTGGTACAAGTGAGGGTTCAAATACAGGCAAACTAATCCCTGCAGATCGAAAAGGTGATGATTCAATCAGGGGCAAAAAGTCTAAAAAATAGCGGGGGGGTTGGGGGGGCGGCAGCCCCCCCCATGATGATCGAACAATTAGGAACAAAGAATCCAAAAAGTAGCGGTGGCATGATGATCGAAAAACTGATGATTCAAATAGGGGCAACAAGTCCAAAAAATAGCAGGGGGGTTGGGCGGGGGGGCCCCCACGATGATTGAACAAGTGATGATTCAATTAGGGCCAAAAAAATATAAAAAGCAGCGGGGGGTCATCAGTTCCTCTGCGCAAGGCCTCATGGTACAAGTGAGGATTCAATCACGGGCAAACTAATCCCTGTAAAACGGCAGCCAAGGAATCTAAAAAGCAGCTGTCGCATGATGATCGAAAAAGTGATGATTCAAATAGGGGCAACAAGTCCAAAAAATAGCGGGGGGGTTGGGCTGGGGGGGGGGGGGCGGCAGCCCCCCCACGATGATTGAAAAAGTGATGATTCAATTAGGGCCAAAAATATAAAACAAGCAGCGGGGGGGTCATCAGTTCCTCTGCGCAAGGCCTCATGGTACAAGGGAGGATTCAATCACGGGCAAACTAATCCCTGTAAAACGGCAGCCAAAGAATCTAAAAAGCAGCTGTCGCATGATGATCGAAAAAGTGATGATTCAAATAGGGGCAACAAGTCCAAAAAATAGCGGGGGGGTTGGGCGGGGGGGCCCCCACGATGATTGAACAAGTGATGATTCAATTAGGGCCAAAAAAATATAAAAAAAGCAGCGGGGGGTCATCAGTTCCTCTGCGCAAGGCCTCATGGTACAAGTGAGGATTCAATCACGGGCAAACTAATCCCTGTAAAACGGCAGCCAAGGAATCTAAAAAGCAGCTGTCGCATGATGATCGAAAAAGTGATGATTCAAATAGGGGCAACAAGTCCAAAAAATAGCGGGGGGGTTGGGCGGGGGGGCCCCCACGATGATTGAACAAGTGATGATTCAATTAGGGCCAAAAAAATATAAAAAAAGCAGCGGGGGGTCATCAGTTCCTCTGCGCAAGGCCTCATGGTACAAGTGAGGATTCAATCACGGGCAAACTAATCCCTGTAAAACGGCAGCCAAGGAATCTAAAAAGCAGCTGTCGCATGATGATCGATTCAAATAGGGGCAACAAGTCCAAAAAATAGCGGGGGGGTTGGGCGGGGGGGGGGGGGGTTGGGCGGGGGGGCCCCCACGATGATTGAACAAGTGATGATTCAATTAGGGCCAAAAAAATATAAAAAGCAGCGGGGGGTCATCAGTTCCTCTGCGCAAGGCCTCATGGTACAAGTGAGGATTCAATCACGGGCAAACTAATCCCTGTAAAACGGCAGCAAAGAATCTAAAAAGCAGCTGTCGCATGATGACCGAAAAAAGTGATCAAAATAGGGGCAACAAGTCCAAAAATAGCGGGGGGGTTGGGCGGGGGGGGGGGGGGAGCGGCAGAGCAAGCAGGGGTCCTTCAACCAACCTCAAAATGTGTATACCACCCTAGGGTTTTCAGCACATTTTAAAAGCGCCCCCCAAATCTAACATAAAAGTTCATACATAAATTCTTGAAATTCCTATCCGCTCGCCAAATGCTTTGAGTTATCCATTTTGATGAATAACTTAAACCATTTCAAACATCTTTAACCTCATTCTTTTCTATATTTTCTTTGTGCCTGTAAGTCCGTTCGTGCTTTGGTTTATGTGTCCTTTTTATATCACAATTACACACATCACAATGATACACAACTTGGCCTTTCCTTTTGTCCTTTTCACGGCACTTATCACAACGTTTATAGGGTTCAGTGAATAAGTTCACATCCTTATCTCTTTGACAACTAGAGCAATATTTCTTTTCCATAACCTCTATTATACTATACCAACAACCCTTTAAACCCTTTTTACCCAGATAGGTTGAAGGTCCCCTCATCCAAAAACTCCCAACAACAAAGAAACATAACAAAAAACCAAACAAGGAACAGAACACAGAACATTCCAAAGCAACCAACCAACGAAACATTCCAAAGAACTTTTCAAAGAACCTAAACATAAATCTTACAATGTTTTTATTGTAAGGTTTATGGGTTAATCTTCTTCAAAAGGTGATATTCTAAACACAGGACATTCTACAAACTGATTAATGCAACAATGTTTCCAAAAACTCTTGTCGTCATACATATATTTTATAACTTTGTGAAAGTCGGCTATTGTTCTGTCTAAGTTGAATTTCTCCAATTTAATAATTTCAATTACCATATCTACATCATTATTACCAATTTTCCAATAAATTTGTTTTAGACAGTCTATTCTTCTTATTGAGAAGTTAAATTCATTTTTTAATACATTCTTTTCAGGAAAGAAATGACATTTAACGAACAAAAATGTCAATGCATCAATTGCTTTACATTTGTTTTTTCTTTCAACAATTTCAGGTAGTCTCCTAAGGCACTGGCAGTCTTCGCATTCTTGATAACTAAACTTACATATATCATTGATAATATTTTGAGGTAAATTTAATTTACATAATTCAACCTTCTTATCTTCTAATTTACAAGGGCAGTTTATGATTTTGGTTTTCATAATTTTATACATATCATTTACATAAATATT